GCCGAACCCGCTGCCGCCGCTGCCGGGCCTGTGTGCGAACTGAGTGCGGGGACTGCCACTTCTGCCGAGACATGAAGAAGTTCGGGGGGCCCGGGCGAATGAAGCAGTCGTGCCTGCTCCGGCAGTGCACTGCCGTGAGTTCTGCCCCCCACCCCCTTGGGGCTCTGGGCGCCCGTCCCCAGCTGGCCTAAGTGCCTTTCTGGGGTGGCTGGTAGCACCTTCCTAGGGTTAATGTAGGGCTCGTTAGTTCACTCATTCGTTCACTGGTTTGTTCAGATGTCCATCGGGCCCATTTCCCCGCCTCAGCTCCAAGCTGAGGGCGATGTTAGGACACAGAGGAATCTAACCCAGTCTCTACCGTCACACTTTCCCCAACTTTCAGAGGCACAGACCCACAGAAAACCTGGCCCCTCGCATCCCACTCCTTAGAGCAGCGGTTCTCAACCGGTGGGTTGCGACCCCTTTTGGGGTCGAACGCCCCTTTCACAGGGGTCGCCTAAGACCATCGGAAAACACATATATAATTACATATTGTTTTTGTGATTAATCACTATGCTTTCATTATGTTCAATCTGTAACAAGGAAGTTGGGGGTCACCACAACATGAGGAGCTGTATGAAAGGGCCGCAGCATCAGGAAGGTTGAGAACCGCTGCCTTAGAGGTGTCTGTGAATAGGTCTGTCTTAGCCTTCTTTGGCCTCTTCCTCACCTGCCAGGGTGGCCTTGGATTTGAGGCTGAGCTTACCCTTTGTGTGACCTTGAGCAAATCACTGAATCCCGAAGGTACTGTCTCTGCAACATGTTTCTTTTGCTGAGTTATAAACAACAGCACAGACCTGCAGGCGCCTGCTGCGAGGCCCAGCGCACAGTAGGTTTCTGAGGAACGGAGGTTTCTTCTCAGCCGTCCGTCCGCATCCTCTGAGCTTCCCAGGGCTCCGGAGAGCGGCCCTTCCCCTGCAGCCATGAGCCTCCAGTCGCATCCTGTGCCCCCTCCCCATATCATCACTTCCTTTTTCCCCTCCAGCGACTCTCTACTGCTTGGTCTCTTCACCCACAGCCCCTCTCTTCTCTTTGTCCCCCAGCCCTTGCCCACTTTCTTGTTCCTTCTTCCCCCTACCTGCTTCTTCCCTGAGCCGATTTCACCACCTTTTTCCCTGATAGGACTCAGTATTACCACTGTCCTCCCCAAAGTCATGTTATCTGAAGGCTGCTCCCTTTTCGTTAAGACCAGCCTGTAGTGTTCCTAGGAGCCTTGCCCAAACCTGGTTCATTGCGAGCTCCAGAGCAACGCTTAGGCTGCCCACTGAGCACACTCAGAGTCAGCCCAGGCTGCTGTCGCCTCCCCTCCAGCCCTCTCTGAGTATTAGTGTCATATTTGCTTATGGTCTCCCTTCCTCACAAAGCCAGCAACAGTTCCAGGGTCATACAGGCCCTGGATCTAGCTGAACATTCACAACAGTGAGAACAAACTATGTAACAAATACCCATCTTGCATTATCTCATCCTTAAAGAGTTCTGCACAGGAAAAATTCCTAGCCCCATTTTACAAATGGAGAAACAGGAATGAGATTAAATCAGTTGCTCAAGGTCATACTGCCGAAAAAGAACAAATAATTCAAGATCTGATCCAGCTTGGCCTTAGGTTCTAAACCTCCTTCAGCAGCTGGCAAGGTTCCCAGAAAGAAGGGTCTTTCCCCTGTTGCTTGCTTTCGGGTCCCTGATGCCCCCTCTCCCCCAACAGCCCGTGCTCCCACACACAGCCGTGTGCCTCTTGTGTGGGGAGGCTGGGAAGGAGGACACAGTGGAGGGAGAGGAAGAAAAATTTGGTTTGAGCCTCATGGAGTGTACAATCTGCAACGAGATCGTCCACCCTGGCTGCCTGAAGGTGATGGCCCCGGGGAACCTGGAGCCTGGGATGGGCAAATTGTCAGGGAGCAAGGAGGCTGGGAACACTGCCTCTGACTTCACTGATACCCTATCCATTCCCTGCCTCTGCCCACAGATGGGGAAGGCTGAGGGTGTCATCAATGCGGAAATTCCTAACTGCTGGGAGTGCCCTCGCTGTACCCAGGAAGGCCGGACCAGCAAGGTAGGGGCAGGACTGGGCTTGGGTGCTGGGCTCCCAGTGGGCTGGGGCGCTGTGCAGAATCTCACCCCCCGCATTCATCTCCTCAGGATTCAGGTGAGGGACCAGGCCGCCGAAGGACTGACAACGGAGAGGAGGGTGCCAGCCTGGGGAGTGGATGGAAGCTGACGGAGGAGCCGCCACTTCCACCACCTCCACCCAGGCGCAAGGGCCCCCTGCCTGCTGGGCCCCCCCCAGAGGACGTGCCTGGGCCCCCCAAAAGAAAGGAGAGGGAGTCAGGGAATGAGCCCCCAACCCCAAAGAAAAAGGTGAGCCAGGGAGCATGCTCACTACATTCAGCCCAAGGGAATCTGGGAGTGGTAGTCCTGTTCCTTTTTGGGGAGGGTGGGCCCTCTGTGGATTCGTTCCCTCGGGGATTGTTGGGAGATGTAATTCAGGAGGTGCTGGGGGAGGATGGGGCGCCCTCAGTGTAGAGAAGAGGTACAGGTGAGAGGGGCAGCTGGCACTGGGCAGTG